AGCTGAAGCTATGAAAGCGAACAAATAAGAAGACACACTCCCGCAACTGGGGAGGCACGTTATGGCACACACGTTTTCGAAGGGTTTTTCGGCCTTGAACATGAGCCCGTCAAATCTGTCAAAATGAAGCTCGAAAGGTCCGAGTTGCTCTGGAGGCTCCCTCTCATTCATCGGGTGAGGGGGGTTACACAAAGGGGGGTTTCTCATGCTGGGACCACACTACTGTAAACTACTGCAAACTACAAGAAACTTCGGTAAGCTGCCAAAACCTTCCGAACACAACCCGGAACTTTATTAAACTACGCAAAACTTCCGAAACCTACCAAAGCCTTACCGAAAACTGGCTTGAAACTTCGCACGAAAACCAAAGTGGAGAGGCCTGGTAACCTCCTCAAGTCGATCTTGTTTTCCCGCAGGGAGCACTCAATACTTCTTGGGATCCGGCATCTTGTCTACAATCGGTTGGAGAGCATTGAAAATTTCTTCGCTGATGTGCCCTGGATTCTGAGCTTGTTGGCCGGGCGACAAGGGAAAATCCTGACTGCCTGCAATCTGCCACTTAAGCCAAGCGTGCTCATGAACGGAAACAAGCTTCTCCCTCCAGTTGGCCTTGGTAAAGGTCTTTGTGTAGGATTTCTTTGTGTAAGAATCTATCCATCGCTCGGATTCTTTCCGCCACGTGGAAACCCATCTGGAGTCGTTGTGGTTCAAGTAGAATTTGCAGAACGGCGGACTCAGTTGGTCCATGATCTCAGCAGGCGTGCTGTAGATCCTGATTCCGCTGGCCCTGGGAGCCAGGGCTTGCTGAGCACCATCACCAGCGGCAGCCTTGATTATGAATATGTGCAAGCCCAAAAAGATACAAGACCCAACGTCACTGATAAACTGAAAACCAGAATCACTCAGGTCAGGTCACAGCAGCGGGCGGTTCGGCAGCCCCTTGCATGGCGTCCTCCACAGCAGGTGCTTCAGCACCCGGAAGCGGTTCTGCCGCAGCAGGAAGCGGTTCTGCAAGAAACGGTTCAGCAATCCCAAGCTGCCCAACATCAGCAGCTGCAAGCGGTTCTGCGGGCTCAGGCGGCCCAGTCCCGTCCACAGGCGGGGCGGAAGAAAGAGGCTCTGCTGCCCCAAGCGGCGAAGCATTGTCCACAAATGCCTCAGCAGAAAGAGAGAGAAGTATTCCTTTCTAAACGTTGTGGAGATTACTGGGGCCCATAAAAAGATTAAGTCTTACACACATCTGTCTCCTTTGTGATGATTGGGCAGTCCAAGGATCACTATCAGTATCAGGAGTTGCCTGGGCACTTGGATGAGATGGCAAAGCTTTTGCCATCGGCTTCTTTTTCCTCCTCCCCAAACCAAACTTGGCCTTGGGTTTTGCCTTGGCGTTGATCTTCGCCTTCGCCTTCGCCTTTGCCTTTGCAGCATGCTTGGCCAAGGCACCTTGCTGGAACTTTTTTCACTTTTTGACTCTCAAGCGTTCCTTCTCCTGCTTGAGATCTGGATCCGCAAAGTTTTCATTGTCCTGCACCATGTCCAAAAGCTCTTCGTAGTCGGAGGCGTCACCATCTGCGTCGTCAATGTCGTCTGGCTGCAGAGCCAGACCCATCTTCTTTCTTGCATCTGCTTTCTGTTCGTCGCTAACGAGGTAGTGGTCAAGGAGAAGGTTGACCAGGTTCTCTCGGCTCATGTTTTTTTTGTATGGGATGTTTAGGAACGACAACAGCTTCTGGCACAAAGCCACAGTGAGGTCCAAACCCTCCGCAATTCTTGCCAGGGGCAAGCCTTGGTTAGTTTCCCAACTTCAATGCCAAAGCTGCAAGAATCTCCATGTAACGAGATTACCGAGAGCAACTACAAAACAAACTGCTTAGGGGTTAGGGGTTAGGGGTTAGGGTTCATATTTCTCATGTTAACCTTAAACCCTAAACCAGACCCGAAACCCCTAAACCCTAAACCCTGAACTTAATCCTAAACCCTAAACCCGAAACCGCAATAAGGCCAGGGAAGCTCATGCCTGAGCCAGTCTGCTGGAGCACCAGAGGACCTCTTGGCCCTGCAAGTCGTGGACGAACGGGCATCCAAATCCAGTCGTTCATGTCGGTGATGAAATGGAAGGCGAGAGAAAACTGTCTTGCAGGCTTGAACGTGAAGAAACCGTCAGAGCAGCTATCTATCTGCAAATCCCAAGCCACAAAAGCATGGCTAGCCGTTGCCAGAACCAAGAGGCACTTAGACTGGCTGCTGCAGGCCAGGACATCTCCTGGCCTTCCCGCCAAAGCAGACTGCCAGGCCTTGTCCATGTCATGCACAGCACCGCCATCCATACAGCGGAAGAACCATTCAGTGGAGGCGATCTGCTGAAATTCCATGTTGTGAGTTGTCGCTGGCCAGGTATGAGCCTTCGACTTGTGCTTCATCAAACTTTGAAACTCTCGCTTGAGGACCTCGGCTTCTGTAGGTTAAAGGGGCCGGGGTTTGGGCAACCAAAAAACAAAAACCAACCCTGAACGGCAAGCCATTAACATTTATTAGCCTACGTCCAGGAGCATGGGTGTTCGGATGAGTCAGCTTGTCAAAAGCCTGCGGGAACACTTTGGGAGCATCGGCTTTCTGGACATCGGTGACCTCCACAGCCGGGATTCCCCGCTCTTTGAAAACTCCAGAGTTGATCACCGAATCCATCTTCCCTACCTTGGACTTTTGGCTGTGGCGAGCGTCTCGAAGCGAGTCCTAAGCTGAGGGTCTGTATGACAAAGAATCCAAGAACATCCACTCTTTAACCTAGCGATCTCCAGAACAAAAAACAATGATCTCGAAGCCAACCGGCTTTTGCGATTTGGTGGCAGTTCTCAACGATTCTAGTGTCTCCGACGTGACACGTGAAAGTCTGCAGAAGGTGCGAGGCCTCTGCCGTTCCCAGTTTCTCATCCCTTTCTTGGGCCAAGAAGAGGAGCCTGACCACGGAGCGTTTCCGCCAGTGCATGAGATCAAGGGGTGGCACATCTTGTCCTGCGGCTTGCAGTTCTTCCCCTTTGAGCAGCCACTTCCACTCGCGAGCCATCTTCTCTTGGCTGCCCGTCTTTGTCTCGGGAGTAGGATGCAGGCAGCAAGCATACCTCATCGGCGGCAAAAGGAAGTAAGCACTGAGGCTCTGCACCCGCTTGCATAGCAGAGCTGTCAAAAAGGAGTAGTGCATGTCCAGGCACTGATCCTCCTGAGTTCAGTTAGGTTTCAAAAGGCTCTAAGGTTGAAGTCTGCAGCGGGAGATCAGGGTTGAGGAGAGTGTGCGGCAGAAAACTACTAAAACAAAAAGCGCACATGACTGTTTGTCTTGGTGACATTGCCGTCGGAAGGGAAGCTCTGTCCATGATACAAGCTTTCAATGCGATTGAAGCCGTTGTCCAACAATTCAGCCACTTCCTCTGCCCATCCATGGCCTGCCGACCGTGTTGCAAATTCCAGTTGAACCTGTTGTGGCGTTTTCACCTCTTTGGCTTTGTGAGAAAAGAAAGTCCAGCAGGGACCGGCTATAGCGATCAAAAGCTTGCACTTCCACATTGACTCCACGGTGATAAGCTGCGGTGCAAGTGTGTAGACACCCAACTTCATTTTGAGTTGGCGGAGCTCTTCCTTGTCAGTAAGCTTCCCGGCGGCCATGTCCCCGTCAATGATGTTTTTGTCAACCGCGGTGTCGGGCGAGCAGCCAGTCGTCATGACCATCTTGTTAATCCAACAGTCACCCTCGTAATGTTTGTAAGATTCAAAAAAGCTGAACCACCTCATCAACTTAACAACCGGTCCGCATTGTGTCAATGTCTTCAATCCAAGCATTTGGTTGAACAACAATTGTCTGCCTTCAGCGTCTTGTGGCTCTGGTATCTGCCGCTCCTCGCATATGCGAGGAAGATAATCCAAAAACGGACTCTCATGAGGAGTGTACGTCTTCGCGAACTCCTTCGTCTGCTGGATCTTGCGTTGCATCCAGGCACGTGACCCGGATGGGCCATAATTGACGTTGAAGAAGAGCGAAAATTCCAACATCGTCCTAAATAAGCGACCCTTGCTCCCTCGCATCGCTGTTTTCAAGTCGTTAAAAGCACGGTGGAATACATCCAGCATGCACAGGATGTTCAACCCCAGCTTGTACTGGACCAGGTCCATGGCCGGTTGGTTGTTGGGGCCTTGGTCGGCCACCGACACCAGCAGTGGCATATTCTGAAAGTTGAAGCCATCAGGGAGCTGCCTGACAAACTCTCCAGTCTTCTCATTGTGGATCCTTGGCCCAAGAAGCACCCCGTAATAATCTGGTGGGGGTGTAGTGGGGTGTGGCGGGGGGTGCGGCCGGGGTGCAGGGGTGTGTGGTGGGGGGGAGGCTTCGATTAGACATGTTCGCCAAGCTTACAACTGCAGTTAAGAATCATGAAACAACTGCTGTCGTCATCCCAGAACCTGGTCTCGTCTGCTGTGAGCGGGTCAAGTCGCACTGCGACTGGCCTTTCGAAGACCTGAAGAGGCAACCCGATGGCTTTTAAAGCGTGGGAAAGGGCCCGAAGCTATTGAAGCCTTCTATTCGCGTCGCCTTTCCAGCTATGCAGAGCTGTTGGATCTCGGAATCAAGTTCGGCAGTGAGGACGGGGCTCATGTTCTGCACTGGTAAAAAACCACCCTTGCCAACAAGCCTGTCAAAGATGCAGCACACAAGCGTCTCGACGTCGTACGTGGAGCAATCCCACGAGACCATCAGCTGCTTGGACTCACGGAATGTTTCGACGAGAGACTTGACGTAGAGACACACTGAGATGGCCTTCTCCTGCGTCACAAGGGCTGCGTGGCTGCTTGTAAGATCTGTATGGCTCCTCATCACCTCTTGCCGGTGGCGTTTCTGTTTCTTGACTCGTTGGAGCAGGAGTAATTTGTTGACTCGCGGTATGCGGCGAATGTTGTTGTGCACCGACTTGAGGAGTGGCAAGGGATGCGCTGAAAGCTCGGCCATCTTCAAAGCAAATTGTTGCAGCAGTGAACCACACACATACAGCAGCTTCGGCCAAAGATGTTGGCCCACATCCTCCCACACCCGGCCCACAGCAGGATTGTGCTTCGACCAAGTGCACCACAGAAGCATATCCCACAAACTAGACAGCTCCAAAGTGGAAGTCAAATTCATGCTGTGCCACCGGTTGCTAGAGTCCGTCAAGCGAACCCAGGTTTGAGATGCTCTGCGGTGAATGTCGGGCAGCTCACGAAATCCCGTTGTCATTCCAGCTTCGTTGAACTCTAGACTCATTGCATGTGGATGGCCGTGTGGGTCAAAGCAAGCGAAGTTCAACACACCACCTTGCACGGGCACACCACCCAAGGAGCCGACTGCAGACCTCACCAGCTCCAGTAGAAGCTGCAGGCAGCAGGCCTTAGAACCTGGCTGCAATTTCTTTCTGCCTGGCAGAATTGCCAATATCATGAGCATTGCTCGAGACTCAACTGAGTGCCCCATCCTTTGGTCGCGAAGTGGATCGTCTGGATCTGGCTCATTTCCACGATAGTGAAGTTGGTGCTCAGGGATCTTGGCAAAGCGGCTAAGCAATAACAGCAGTGGTCAGCAGCTCAACAAACGAAAACTTCAGCTGAGCTGCCTCTGCGTTGGCAAACTCCGCCTGGAAGGCCTTCCGGTTACTCTGCAGGAACTTGTGGTCCTTGTTGCCCTTGATGCTCACTGCATCCTGTATTCGTGCCCACTCCCACTCGGCCCGGCCATCACACACGAGGCCTGAAGTCAAGTTGCGACCGAAGCAGGGATTCGTATGCTAGAAACGAAAGCACGAACCGGTAGTTTGACCCGCCCAGACCTGCCAAGACATGGCCTCCTTGAGAGTGCCATTGGAAGCTGGGGAACGGATCATCAACATCCATGGCCAGGTCTCTGCCAGCCGGACAAACTCATCTAAGTTGAAGCAACCCACCTCTGTTGCACGTTTCAAATTTTTCGTCCGTTCTGAGTGTCGCGATACAAGACAGCAACGTGCAACTCAGAGTCACAGACAAACTGGACTGCAGGCTCCGATCCACTAGTCCGTCACCGCAACGGGCCTAAGGACACATGGCTAACCGGCTAGCTACAGCCAAACATCTGCATCGTGTAGACGAATTCCGGGAATCAAGACTCACTCGCAAGCGAAGGCCAAAGCTAATCTGCGTGTCGGCAATGCTTCGTTCCGGAACTTTTGCTCCGCTCGGCTTCCCGAACTCAAAGCTGACAAACGAAGCCCTCACCATCAAGGCTTCGCGACCAAGCTTTCTCCTTTGAGAAGCCACACTTCCCCACCCGACCTGCAAATCTCGATCTGGTGGGGGCTCGAAGCAAGTTATATAACGGCTGAATCTGTCTTCCATGCACAGTGTCGGAGCTGGCACCACCTCTTACAAGGCAGATCGTACACACACAAAGGCCTGGAGTGAAGCCGAGGCATCATGCAAATGGAAGTAGCATGCGGATTGACTTTTGTTGCCACACAATGCATTCCTTGACTGCGGGAACGAAAGACTCGATCGCGAACTCCTCAGAATCTTTCTCACTGGAAACAGCATCGTCCTGGTCCTTCTCCGCACTCTCTCAAAGCTCAGCAGCACGGGTGTGATCAACAGGGTCAGAATCAGAAATATACGACGACTCTTCGGACTCCTGGGATCGCTGCACAATGCAAAGAGAGGCCCTAAACGTGCAGTGCAGGAGAAACAACTCAGCACGAACAACCAGCGTCCTCGTCCAGACTTTCGTCATCCTTGCAGGAAGACGAATGGCCAGTCATGCCGACTCACCTTGGCATCGCATGTGGCACGAAGCATGAACACCACTTGTAATTGTACTGTGTCACCTTTTGCAGGCCAGTGGCAAGCTACCAGGTGCAAAATTTCAAGAAATTGGAGCTAGCCCCTCCCTCAGGCCCTGAGCACAGCAACTTGCGTGGCACGACAGGTTGGCCTTGAAGTAAGACTTTCCAGCTTGCATAGAACAGCTCCAAAAAAGCTACGATCTTGCACTCCCCGCATTCACATGTGTCAAGAGCTGTCTGCGGACGACGACATTGGTAATTAACCAAAAATTTGGCGCTGAAACAGCCACGAAAGATCTGAGCGGATCAAGAAGAGGACCTGAGATTCAGGCAGATTGCGTGCTGCAGCGACAGTGTAACATCCACTCAGTTGCATGACTCCCGACTGCGGGAACGAAATAACACACTACCAAGAAGCTACGAACTAGCATCACAAAGACAAAAAAAGCTCAGCGACACCACAACATACCCGAAAATACCAAAATCTACTCGAAACTACCATAAACTATGTCCAATTACCAATATCTACCAAAAACTGCTGAAAAATACGAAAAACTGCCACAAACTACCAAAAACTACGAAAAATTTCCCTCACTCTTTTCTGGAAACTACCAGAAACTACCAAAATCTACCAAAAACTACCAAAATCTTCCAATCTGGATTGCGTGTCGCTCGTTTTCTGCTCCTCACTCAAAGCTTCTCTGGGGAAGGAAATGCTGCCCGATTTTTTGGGAAGCTATTCGAACTACGAGATTGCGAAAAGAAGTCACAGACAGACTTCAAGCAATAGCCTAGCATTCTTAGCCACAGATGCAACACGTGACTGAATTGGGCAAGGCGACCGGCCCTCATAATAGTCTTCTCGCATTTCGTTTCCACCTGCCCAGTGAGCTTCAATCATGCGAGAGAGAGAGAGAGAGAGAGAGAGAGAGAGAGCCAGCCAGCCAGCCCCACCTGTCAGCCAATGGCACTGCCAGCCAGGGCGGCATCGCCGTGTAAATGATACAAACAGAGACATCTGCGGTCACGGCGGCAGAAGACCAACAGGAACTCGGCCCCCGGTCTGAGAAAGCGAAGACATGCCCAAACTGGCCTCTGAGCAGTAATCACTCGGCAAGGTTTGTCGTGGAGCTCGGGCTCGAAGCCGAAGCAGGCTCCTCCGGAATTGGAAGGACTGAAGACACTCTGCGTTTGTTGAAAATCCGCATGCGTGCCAGAAGCTTCTTTGACACTGTTTGGATGATATTGCGTCCTTGGAGTCCTTCTGGGATGCTGGGCCCTTTGCACCTACGGAATTGCATGCTAATGCTGAATCAGCAAAGTCATGGAGCTATAAAGGCTAGACAACAGGGACAAAAGGGTACCAGGCAGGGCCTGCAAACATCTGTTGCACAGCCGTGGCGGCGTCGTTCTTCCCCTTATCCAGTGCCTCCAGAGCCCGCAGAAAGAGTGCGGCACTGTCCCCGCTTACTGGTTTGGTTGCGACCCGCCGGCCTGATCTGGCATCTTCTTTGGTGCCTGTCTGGAAACCAATAATATCGGAGGGGGGCGGGGTTTCGGCGGTGGTCTGAGACATGAGTTGGAGATGGGCCAGCCAAGTCAGGCACCGATTCTTTCGCGACACTTACCGCCCTCATCTTCTCCTCAGGTCGACACGGACGATAACTATATTTACATGAAAGGGCCTTTGAAGCGACACTGCCCCAACCTGACTGAGACCAGGCCTTCATCTCTGCCTCCATTTTGGCCTTGGCTTCTTTCGCCTTTTCCTTTCGCGACCCGACATGGTTGGCGAACAGATACATGTGTCTGATCGGGAACGGAGATGGCCTCCAGCTCGGATGCATGCTTAGCCCGTGCTTCCTCCAGCTTGGCCTGCATTTAAGAGCAGGATATTTGAGTCGTGCAGGAATTCGACCAGCGACAGAGCAATGATTTCAGCATCCATAGTCATGCTAAAGGCTAAAATTACTTCATGGCCTCGAGTGCTGCCTGTCGTTTTGCCAGTATCGCCTGCGTAGACCAGAAACTTGGACGGTCCATGAGACGTCTTGTGCGACGGCACGGGAGAATTGCCTCCATCTCTCTTTCCTTCTCAGCCTTTGCGACGCTGAGCTTCTCCTGCGACGTGTCGGGCAGACAACATCGGGCTGGACTTAGCTAGATGTCTCCACAAGGAAGCATGCCTGAAGCTCTTTCTCGCGGATGGCCTCGGCTGCCTTAATCTTCTCCTAAAGAAAACACTTGGCAAGGAATCCATCCAGCTGGGGTGACCCCAGACGTTCCAATCAACGGGCCTGCATTTCTGCATCCTGCTTGGCCCGTGCTTCTTTCATCTTCTCCTGATGAGAGCAAACACTGGCACAGAATGCACATGAAGCCTGCCCACTAAACATCTCCTGCTCGGTGGTCTCAGTGCCTCCATCTCTGCGTCCTGAGCCTGCATTGCTGCCTGCATCTTGGCCTGACAATCCAAGAAGCACCCTGTAACAATTTAGCGGCCGTTAACGAGTCATCTGCGGGCTGGGCGTGAGTTTGTGGGCCCCGGAGAGGGCCCGGTCCGGGACCCACAAACTTGGCTGCCGAGACCCACAAACTTGGCCACCATAGCCCAACATCAGCTGTGTCAGGGTGGGTGTGGGTCCCGGAGAGGGCCCTGTCCGGGACCCACAAACTTGGCTGCCGAGACCCACAAACTTGGCCACCATAGCCCAACATCAAGAGCATCAGCTCGGTCAGGGTGGGCGTGAGTTTGTGGGTCCCGGACAGGGGTTGGTTCGGGACCCACAAACTTGGCCACTGGGGGCTCAACAACTTCGCAAAATCCCGGGAGTGTGGTGGGCAGTCCCGACATCCAGCCTCAAGCTCGGCCTCTTCTTCAGAGACCTGAGACGAACGAAATCGCTGTGGCCCGAGCCGAACTATAGCCGGCCATGAGGCCTGCACCTTTGCATCTTCTTGCATCTGAGCCTGTTCTGCGAAGGTAGCAGACCATGGAATGAGCAAGGGTTCTCCCCACACCTCTGCGTCTTGCCGTGCACCTGCATTCTGCATGGCCTAGCAGAACAGGAAAATGCCGGCAAACATGGCTTCACCAACAGCACGAAGCCTGGCCTTCAATTGGGCATCGTGCTTGGCCTCAAAGCCCAGTGACATGTTCACGTCAGAACATGCACGAACCCCAAACAGCAATAGCCTGGGCTTCTTTCATCTTCTCCTCACACGGCGAAATTGACATTCCCGAACCCATGCGGTTACTTAGATTTAAATGACCACTTGCTCATGTCATGACACATCCCTAGGTTATACAATGCCCGTTTGCCAGGGCCCCAAAACAGTGCATCCAGGGCATAGTTGCACTATTGGTGTGAATTACTTTAATTGTTTCCAGAGACCCGTGTGTATGTGTGTATGTGTGTGCGTGCAAAAGCAAAACTACACACGAGACAACCTGATAGATATTGGTCCACGAGTAGCAACTACATTGAATCAAACAGGTGCACGAGAGAGATGGAATATAAGAGCATGCATGAGATAGTTCACCAGGGATTACATTTTGGGGGCGTCAGACCAGGGACAGACCTCAAGAACGAACATCATGAATCATGAGCACGCAACCCGCCAGACCAGATCAGTCGCGACTTAAGGCCACACCAATCCAGATCATTGCTCAGATACAACCAATAGAATTCAATAGTCATCAATAGAAGGCTTGGAACCCGTGCGTGGCCTGCAACTCCGTCTCTTGCTTGCCCCTGGCCTCTTGCATCCTGTCCTTCAGTTTACTGCACCGGGGACAAGCCTATCTTTGTGGGATGCAAAAAGAACAAAGCGTACATGTCCAAAGTTGTTCGTGTTCCATGACAAGCTAGAGAACGAGTGCCTCGAAAACGTCTAGAAAAGTGAGGCAACATCTAACACCATCTCCTCCCGTCTCATCCATTCTGATCTCATCCCATGCCATCCCACTCACATCCATCTATCCATCCATCCATCCAGCCAGCCATCCATCCATCCATCATCCATCCACCCATGCATCCACCCATCCATCTATCCATCCATGCACCGCGACAAGCTCAAAGCGTTCAAGTTGTTCGTGTTCCATCTGCAGCCCCACACACACAAGAGCTTGCCTGCAGCTGCTTCTCCTGAAGCTTGAAGTGCAGCTCTTCCTGTCATGTCAAACGATCCAGGACCCTGTGCTATGTGACACATCTCCTGAATATTTACAAACTGGATGATATCTATGCTAATGCGGAAGCCGAAAGCCAAAACCCAAAAAGACTCTATAAGGCCTATCGCCACTCCAAAACTGCTGTAGACTTTGGGCTTGACACGAGGGTTTGGCTCGGAGGTGTTGAAGCACAAGACATGGACCCAGGTAGAGTGCCTCTTCTGCCAATTTCTTTGCCGCCCGTTCGGCCATCTCAGCCTCAGGGGCTCCGAGCAATTTTGAAGCCACACTGCCGAAAGGCCTCGACACATCTGCCCCAAAGTTGCCGAAACTAAGCAACGAGGAGGGTTTGGAGGGGTGGTTCAGTTTGGTGTGGGAAACAAAGCCGAGACCTCAAAGCCCTGAACCTGACACCGCTCGCTCGTCATGCCTCCATCTTTTGCATGGCCGCTTTCTTCTCCTGCTCCAGCCCTGCCTGACAAACACAGGAACACAAAACACAATGCCAAGCAAGCTTGAAGACCATTCCTGGAAGGCAGCCCATCTTTCCTCTCGGGTTCTTGCGGTGTCATCCTGCACGAGAAGCAAAGCAGAGCCACAGGACTCGCGACTCGCGAAGTTCCAAGTTCATGTCCCCGGGCCTTCTTGGCCTCTGCCTCCTGTTGCTTCGTCTTCAAAAAGCCTTCAGACAGCCAACTTAGACTCTTGCAGATCAACACATGCTCAGGCTTAGTCTGCACAGCTCGCCTGGCATGGAATCCAATGTCTTTGGAGGCTCGGGCTGTTTCTTCTCGAACTGAGCGGGCAACATCAGCTTGTCCACTCGGCTGGACCAGCTTTCCTTCGCATTTTGCTTGGCAGCTCGTACCTCGGTCAATATTATATTAAAAGAAGCTGCCCCACTCATGTCATGATCAAGCTGACTCTACAAGACTACACACATCAGACACTCAAGCCAAACTGTCCGAAACACCATGGCTTGGTTCCACTGTTCATAGGCATCGTCTTCATGGAAAACAGCGTGGCAGTCGTGCAGCTCAAAGTCCGGAGACGGACCCTGTAGGAAGAACCTTGGATCGGAGTTGCCACGGTATGCTCTCAGTGCTACTGACTGCATGCGAGCAACGAAACCGCAGCCAAGCAGCCGTCCGTTCCTGTAAATCCTCTGCCCTGGCACTCCTGCCGGAAGGACAAGTCTTGGCGGCCCACCTTGCGAGACATCGGGAGACATCGGTCATGAGGTGAGAATGGCACATATACCTCAAAGGTAAGCAGAGATGAATTAAAAATAAATCCACTGCAACCCGGGCGCCCTCCTTGGACTGAAGCCAGGCGTCTCCATTCGCAGCCGTCTCCAAGAAGAACTGCTGCCGCAAATCCTCCCTCACCGGCTCCGGGACCTCCTTATTGCAACAAGAACTCAACTCAACGAAAACACGGGAGCCTCAGCACAAGGCTTGAAAGCTACACATGTGCCATGATAGGACAAGTTGCTTGCTTGGGGGTGCCCTGGCATGGGTGTCGCCCGGCAAACACATCGTCCCAGCCGTATTTCTTGGCAACATCGTCCTGAGATGTTTGAAGTGCAGCACGACCGTTAAGTGAAGCATATTGTAAGCCCAAGCAGCTAAGTTGGAAAAGTCCATGTGGACTTCGCTGATGCGTTTGCCGCCACATCGGATCTCATAGCGCCCCATAGCTTCTATGAGCTTCTCGCACCTCATCAGATACCGCCACTCCCACAACATATTTTCGGCATCGGGCCGTGGGCCGATCTCAACCAATAAACCTGACGACGTACTCAAGGCTAGTCGCAGGCAAGTAGCAAGTCGCCCCGGTTCCGGGGGCGAAGGTCTCGTAGCCTGGTGTAGGGCGGGAGCCCTGTCAAAAGCCACAGGGCTTGACCAAGCCCCGTATCGTCGAGCTGCTGCCTCGTGCCTCCGAAGGCTTTCAGGAGTGTATGTCACTGAGGCACAAGTCTCACGAGCCCTTCAAGAGCAAACCACATCCCTAAGTTTCACCTGCCTGCTGGGAACCTCTCGGGGTCGAGGCGACCAAGGAATCTCAAGGCATCTCTCCTGACAGAAGTGCGGACAGCGGTTTCATCTGATTTGCGAGATCACCAACTACTAACTAGAACAAGGCTGCAAACGAGTCTCCGTGGAAAGACATTCTTCTTCGTTTTTTTCCACACAGCCAGGCAGCATTTGGGCACATCGCGAGCATCCAATTCATCACCTGAGCTTCGTCATCCAATGTTACAAATTAAAAGCGAATAGAACTGCACTCAAGCACCGGCCGATACAAACACAGTCTCTCGTCAAGGAGCTCGGTGCGTCCCCGGAGGAATCATCATCGTGGTCCTTTTCCTTCTTGGATTTCTTGTGGCCTTGCACAGTCGTCTCCGCGACATGAGTAGCGGTAGTTACATCATGAACAGATATCCAACCGGCTTCCGTGCAAGGACTGGCCCAAACCCAGAATCCTGAAGGACCCTCCTCGTCGCTTACCCTTTTTCTCCTTGGTCTTCTTCTTGTCGTCCGTTTCCTCTTCTTTTTGCCACGACTGCTGTCAGACCTCAGAGTATCCGAAAGAACTGCCCAGAGATGCAGCCAGCATAAAGAGACGAAGCAATCACTCACGAAGCAACGCCATCAGAGTCGAATGGCGAGAGTGTTGAGCTTCCACCTGACGAGGCAGGCAAATGTTTTCCTTTTTGAAAGCCCCCGGCTTCCTAGGACTCACCCACATGTCATTTGCAACTAAACTGCTTAATCGGCTTAATCCTTTGCCTAGGCGCTGGCATCACTGGCGGCATCCGAGTTGTCCGATCCCATCAGCTGATCAAAAGGATCAGGCACAGACCCCAAAGACCTACTGCTGTTGCTCCTCCTCAGGGCACCAGGGTGGCCTGAATGAAACATGCCGGGGTGCCCTGGCATTGCCATCATGCCCATGTGGCCATGCCCACTCGCCATAGCGGGCTCCACAGGTGGCAAAATCGTGCCAAAGGGATCAGGGCGACCACCTCGCATGTGCCTTGTGCTGGGCGTCATGAATCATTTCCGAAATATGAGAATGCAACCATCGTGTCAGAAGCTGAATGCAATCAGGATGCTCAGGCAGCCTCTTTTGATCCCGATGCTTCAATTTGCCCATTGCTGACACGCACACACAGAAACAGACTCCAGACCTGAACCCAAATCCTGCAGATTGGAGAACACTTGCTGTCGCCTTCAAAGGATCTCAAGAGCGTCACCCCGTCAAGTTAGCCCGATAGTTTTTAGAAGTTTGTAGAAGTTATGGGCAGGATTTGGAATGCTGGATTTTGGGTTGACAAACCCCTCCTTGAGTAACCCCCCTAAGCTTGCAAAAGACCCTCTATCGCGAAACCCAACACACAACGTTAAACGCGGGGATTCGAGCACGTAAAAACTGTTGCCTGCGCTACAAGTTTCGACGCTCAAATTCCAAGCCAACAAACTAACTTGTCTCAATTTTTGTGGAGCAATGCAGCCAAATTAGCTAACTGTGCAGTCCTGCAATTTTCTTTGGTTTTCTTCCAAAGAAATGTGGTGCTAATTCTTCCCACATTGTCTGACTATCCAACTCAGAACAAATTCTTGATGAAAATGGTTTGACGTCGTCCAAATTTTGCTGCTATCTGTTGCCTGCGTTTTTTCAACGCGTCCTTGTTCGCAATTGTAGAAAGAGGTTGCAAATCCAAAATGGGACCTTTAAGAGTATGCGCCAGAGACGCACAAGAGCACTGCAGTTTGATTTGGTCTCTTCTTACTGTAAATTTGGAGCCAACTTCGCGGATATTTTTTGGAATGGACTTGCAAACATTTCTGGTCTCTGCATTGCTTCTGGTCTTTTTCATTTGCTTTTGGTTGACCGGTTTTTTGGAACAGCAAAAAAGTGGAGTTCGCTGTCTCTCAAATTCGACATGCAGAAAAGTGGATTCCATCTCGTGCGTTTTGGAGTTCAGCACGGTGCACACAAAATCCGAACTGTCACCCACACCTCTCGATACATAAATCTGCAGAGCTCGAGAACCCTGTTCGGCAAAAAAAGTTCAGTTTTCTGAGCCAAGAATGTTCCAACACTGAGAGACACCCAAAAACAAGCTCGAATTTCCAGAAAAGTGGGTTTGGACTGCTTCTTGGACAGTCGAAGCATCAAAACAAGTCCACCAGAGAGAATGCACTAGAAGCAATGTAAAGATTGGAAATGTTGCAACAAGGTCTTTCTCAAATCGAAAAAAAAAACTGCAAAACACACAATGTTCTGAACTGAACTCAGTCTAAAACAGATAAATACACGTTTCGGTACATTTTAGAAGAGTTTTTGAGCCTAGAATATGAGTCCGTCAAATCTATCAAAATGAATGTTTTTAAGTCCGAGTTTGCTCTGGAGGCTCCCTATCCGCACAGAACCAAGTTTTATCTCTCATTTATCGTAAAAGTGTGTTGGGTTTCGCGCTTTTGTGCAGATTTGAGTGAGTCTCTGGAGGCTACTGGACCTTTTGACCTTCATTTTGACAGATTTGGGCTCACGAGGCCGAAAAACTCTTCGAAACGTAATACCGTGCCATCTTTGCTTGCTTTCATAGCTTCTCAGAATGTTGCTGTCGTTTTTCTGGGAAACTGCAGCGTCTCATCAAGCCATGGTGGTGGAGTTATTTTGTTGGAAAGAAGAATTCAAAAAAAGAGAGAAGCAGGGTCACTGCCCTTAGATGTCAGATTCAGTTTTTTTCTGGAAAACAGAAGCAATGCAGAGACTGGAACGTTTGCAAGTCAATTCCAAAAAAATCAGTAAAGCAGACTTCAATTTGAGCTCTTTAAGGTTCTTGTTTTTGGTTTGCAAGCTCTACATTTTGGAGGCACGCGAAGTTTGATGTTGCAGTGAGCATCACGACTGAAAACGCCACACTCCGCACCAATGTTGCGCAGAAAGAGTGGCCAGTCAATCACTCTGTAAAAGCTACAGGCCTTGTTTCAAGACCTAGTCAGAATTCTGTCATTTGAGAGTCAGAATTCTGTCATTTGAGAGTCTGCCGATTTTGAGGGCTGGAGGCCGTAGGGTCTGCAATCGTAGGGGCTCTAAAGTGCTTGCAAAAACGTCTGCGAGCTTCAAAGGCACTCTGAGAACGCGCGTGGAGCTCGCGAGCCATTTGGGAGTGCTGCGTTGCGCTCCGAAGCTGTTTGGGACCGGCGTGTGCTTGCGCGCGCGAGTCTGCTGGCCGGAGGCAGCTCCGGAGCTGTTGGGCCGGCAGCCCTTGAGCAGCTTGTGTGCTGTTGGACCGTTGGGCCGGTAGCTCTTCAGCAGCTTGTGTGCTGTGGGACCGGCAGCTCTTCAGCAGCTTGTGTGCTGTTGGACCGGCAGCTCGTGTGCTGTTGGACCGGCAGCTCTTGAGCTGCTGAGGTG